TCCCCTCCCCCCACGCCCCCACTTACGTATTCGTCCAGAAGGAGGTAGCTGTTCTGCATCTGCGATGAGAGAGAAACAGCGTTAACCAGGTTTCCATGATTACAAAGTACGCCTTTGTAGCCGCCCCCCCATTGCGACGACGGATGGGGTACTAGGGCGCCGTGCGAGTAGGCAACCCCGATACACGCCTGCATGGCGGTACGGTCCACCCCAGCTGCAGTACACCGCCCATCTCACCCAGACCCCCCACCCAGCCCCACCGAGGACAGTGACAGAAAGAGAGAATAACATACCGACACGTTGCTCTCTGGCACCAGCACGGGGACCGACTTGTGGCGGTCCAGGAACTTCTGGAAGTCCTCATCGGAGATGTAGAAGGGCTCTGCATCCCTCAGGGCGTTCTCACCGCAGTTCTCCCCCTCCAGCAGGAGGCACTGGAACACCTGAAAGACAGAGGCAAGAGGACGTCATCAACACGCCCCGCCTGCTGCAAATAAAACTGCGAAGCAAGCCCAGTGAGAAACGACATCAACAAAGCAACATCCAAACGACATTGTTTGGGCATCACTTTGATCGTTCCGATGGCCGTTTCGACATATCATTACTCATACAGGGAGACCGCACCTCTACCGATCTTACCTTCCACCTCATGGGGTTGAGGCGCATGATGTGCTCGCTCATGTCCTCGTCCAGGTTGAAGGTGTTGACGACGGTGTTGATCTTGAAGGAGACGCGGTACTCCTTGCACCAGGAGTGGATCTGGTGCAGCTTGTCGACGTGCTTGTTGGCGCCGCGGTTGCTCTCCCCGCAGCGGCCGATGCGCTCGTTGGTGTCGTCGTCAAAGCTGTCGCAGGACACGGCCAGGATGTCCAGGAAGTCGCCGTACTTCCGGAACCAGGACTTCCGGATGAGACTGCCGTTGCTGACGATGCTCACGCTGTCCAGCCTCAGGTCCTTCTTGCAGTACTTGACGAGCTCGCCGAGGTGGTCCCCACCGTGGATGAAGGGTTCTCCGCCAGAGAAGTTGACCTTCTTCATCCCTGGGTAAAAAGAGAAGCATTGGGACTTAACCGGCTGAAAACTGATTCTGAAGCTCCCCCCCTCCCCTCAGCCCGCTTAATTTGGTTAGGTCTTTGAACAGCGA